TTGCTTTTCATAATTCACATTTGCACTATCAGCACAGTAGGAAGACACTTTGTTTAGGTCTAGTTTGTGGGTCGCAAGTTTTTCAAGTAATGTGTTGCTTATTGCCTCTGCGGTCTCTTCGCTTTGCTCATAGAAGTCTAACAGTTTATCTTGGACCCCATGTTCAGGTGTCCAGTATCTCAGTGATAAGGGGAAAGTTTTCACATTGCCCGTGTTAGATGCATCTGTGGCAACTGAGAAATAGGGACCATCTGGCTTGCTGAGGTCTTTTAAAAATTCTGTTGAGAGCAGTGACAGCACATTTTTGAGCAATGCCTCCGCTTTAGTCCGGCCACAGCTGACGTGCTTTGCAATCGTTGAATCTGGATAGAAGGTAGGTGCCAGTTTAAGTTCACAGTCACACGAGCGATAGGAGTGTTGATGGACTACTGTGTGGTAAACTTGAGTTAGCTCAACAGCGATAACCTTGTTATTGAAGGATTCATTTGGCTTGCTGAAAAAATGTGAGATCATGGTATTGCTCTTGTGAGTCTGGGTGTTTTGTCCATGATTTTTTGATTCAGCATGATGCTTAACATCAGCCTCACCGCCATGGCAAATGGGAAATTCCTTCCTGCATGCTTTACAAAAGGCTTTTGAATCACACACATAGGATTTCCGAATCCAGGTGTAAGTGGCTTCCCATTCTGTCATGTATCTGCACTGTCTCTTTTGTTTTTTGGTAGTTGGCTCCTCCCTTGCCGTTGCCATTTCAGGTGGGGTTTTCGGCTGAAGACCGTTAGCTAGATAGCTAGCCACTGAAAAGAACTGCTCAGTCTCTGTGCTTCTTACGTGTTATTACGTGCCCACTGTAGTTTGTCCTACGGTATGCACTGTGGTTCAGAACTGTACACTACTGTAAATTTGCGTTACACCGGAAAACAACCTGAAAAACCAAAAATGCCAGTAGATAACCAATCACAATCAGGTTTAATGGGACATTCCCAATCAACTAATTTTCTATTTCACTACCAAAAGTAAAATTTTACCTGAATATCGGGACAATGGCGCCCGATTGTACATCAAGCAGATGAACACTGCCAGGTGCAATCCCTGCTTGCTAATGTGGGCAAGTGAACTGGGCAGCAGCCTAGCAGTGCTCAGCTCCAGCCTGCCCTGTGTAGAATCAGCATGTGCAGAGGCGGATAGTGTAGACAAGCCCCCAGAGCCCTCCCCATCTAGTGCCCCATCCATGGCTGCAGGGGTATTGCTCCTAGAAGTCACAGATCAGCTACATGCCATTGTAGGAATCCTTCTGCTTCATACATTCCTCTCTACCCATAAAGTTTAACTGACATTGCTCACTGTATTTTGCCTGTCAGTTTTGATCAAGCCCATCTAAAGAGGGGATGCATGTTTAAAATATCACAGCATAAATCATTTGAATCAAATACAGGTTTGCATTAAAGCTTTGGTGGGTTATTTGTGGCTAAAGTTATTTTAAATCTTCAAAATTTGCCATCATGAAGTGGGATGCCATATACTGGTCAGAATAATCATTGACTCTGAATGCAAATCATCCTTTCCATACCAATGTTTGTCTCGCCTATGTGTGTGTGAGTGGATGGTTTTTACAAGACTTTGAGTCCAGTTGGGAGAGGAACCCCCCCCCGCGCCGGTGCCACTTCCCCTGCCGGGCCGCTGGGGCTGTAGGGCCAGCAGCAGTGACCCTGTCTGCCAGCTGCGAGCGAGCAGGAGCGGGCGGAGGGCCAGGGTCAGCGGACCGACCCAGCCACACCATTAATTGCAGTGTAGACACTCTGGCTCAGGTTGTAGCCTGAGCTCTGGGACCCCCGTATCTCACAGAGCCCAGGCTTCAGCCCAAGCCTGAATGTCTACACCACAATTAAACAGCCCCTTAGCCCGAACCCTGTGAGCCCAAGTCAGCTGGCCTGGACCAGACGCAGGTGTCTAATTGCAATGTAGACATACCCTGAGGTGTGGCCACAGCATGTGGAATACAGACTTTATCTCCCCTCTTCTGCACTGTGAGCATGTTGCAGCTATTTTTTAAGCATTATGAGGCTTTGTTGCACCGTGTGTTCACTTGTAATCAGTAAGTTTGAATACAGAATGTGGGATCAGTCCTGCAGTCTGTACTAAGGGAAAACATCCAAGCTTTATTTTGATTAGGCTAGTTATCTTGTCTGTGCCATGGGCTAGATAGATTGTGGCTTCCGAGCCCCTGCCTTGCATGCAGTGGTGGTGAAAAGCACTACCTCAGAAGGCACACACTCTCTAGTACTGCTCCTTGAGCATGGCATGTGTGTGGTGCCCTTTGCATAAGCCCACATTGATTTACCAGCAACTTCTTTGCGCGCGCGGGGGGGGGGGGGGGGGGGGAAAAAAAGGCCCCCCAAGAAAAGGGGGCGGGGTTGTATAATTTTTGGTGGTGCCCCCCCGCTCCCGCCCTGTAAGCCGATATAAAATGAAGCTACAACACGTCAGTGCCACAAGATTACAAGGGTCAATTAAAAGTGGAAAGTCAGAATACTTCAATATACAGTATTATATTTTGTTGCACCTGTTGTGACGAAGTGGGAATGTTCTTAATGTTTTCTCTGAATGCTGTGTGGGTGCCTCAGTTTCCCCTGAAAGGTGCCAACTGAAGGTGTTGGGGACAAAGAGATCAGATGGCCTCCTTGTCCAGAAGAGACACAAAGGCCAGAGGAGGGAGTGTCAGTTTGGAGCTGGCTGGGAAAATGGGGAGAGGCCCAGAACTTGGGTCTGGGCTCTCCACCCCCACAAGATGGACCTGACTGAGAGGTCCTGTTTTCTGTACCTACAAGCTCTGTTTTAGACTGTGTTCCTGTCATCTAATAAACCTTCTGTTTTACTGGCTGGCTGAGAGTCACGTCTGACTGCAGAGTTGGAGTGCAGGGCCCTCTGGCTGCCCCAGGACCTGCCTGGGCGGACCCGCTGCGGGAAGCGCACAGTGTAGGGCATGCTGAATGCTCCGAGGTCAGACCCAGGAAGGTGTAAGCTTCTTGCCCTGGAAACAGTATGCTCAGAGAGAGGAGGTTCCCCCAGAGTCCTGACTGGCTTTGAAGGAGTGGTTCCAGAGCATCCCAGCATCCCCTTCCACACCATGCGCTTCCCAGAAGTCCACCCAGGCACTGACACTCCCTCCTCTGGCCTTTGTTTCTTTTCCAGGCATTAGGAGGCCACCTGATCTCTTTGTTCTCCAACACCTTCAGTTGGCACCTTGCAGGAGAGTGGCCCAGGCCATCAGTTGCCCGGAGGCAGGATTTTGGCCATTCTCTGTGCAGCCGGCATCACACTGGCCCACTAGGGCTCTACAACAATCATACCCCCTTATCCCAACATCTAGATACTTCAGAAATGCATAGGGGAAACTGAGGCACCCACACAGTATTCAGAGAAAACATTAAGAACATTCCCACTTCGTAACACCTGTATACGACTAATTATATACTTTAAAGGGTGTAAAATAACCAAGTATTGTGCTAAACACAATGATACTCCAAACTGACCACCAACTTTAAGTTGCGTGTTTTTCCCCTCAGGTGAGGGCTCTGGGGTGGGGCTGGAGTGTGGCTGCCCCCCAAATCCTGCCACCCTAGGCGACCACCTAGTGGAAGTGCCAGCCCTGCATGTGTGGCCTCCCCTGCTCCTGCCCCTCACCATAGCCTCACTGGGGATGGGGCTGCCCCTTGCCCAGTGTGGGGCAGGAGTGGGGACTGCAGGGTGGTGGCTGTGGGGGGTGTGTGTGTGTCACAAAACTCACCCAAGCCCCAGCTGCTCAGGACTAGGAAGCTCCCCCTCCCCCATCTCCCCTGTGGTGGGTGGGTGCGTGGGGGGGGGAGGGGACTGCCATCACATGTGGCTTCCTTCCTCCCCTGCTGCAGCCTGCTGCCCCTCACTGGGGGTGGGGGATGGGGATGCCCCTTGCCCAACGTTGGGCAGGAGTGAGGGCTGCGGGGTGGGGTGGGGGGGTGGATCACAGGGTCAAACACTCACAGAAGCCCCAGCAGCTGCTCAGGTGAGTGAGATCCACTCCAGATGTCCATCTCCTGGCAGGAAGTCCCCTTGGCGTCTCCTCCAGGTGGGGTGGGAGGGGCTGCCAAACACATGTGTGCCTCCTCCCCCTTCCCCTCCTGCTGCTCTTGTGCGATAGCCCTTAGGCAGAAGCAGCCGCAGTGGCAAAGCAGAAGCAAGCAAGGGAGAGGCACTGGGCTCTTTTCTTTCAGGCAGGGAAGCTCCGGGGTGGGGGGTGGCCTGCGGGGCCCGGGGCCCGCTCCCGGCAGGGCCAAGGGAGAAACCCAGCTCCAAATATAGGTGGAGCACAGCCCCCAGGCTTGAATATTCCTGGTGCTCAGGCACCACGCGCCCATATAACCTGCCGCCCCTGCCCCCAAGCTTGGGCAGATTGGCAAGAGCAAGAGAGGTAAGGGCTGGGCTCACCCCGTTTCCTAAAGCCTTGCAGCCCCCAACTGGGGCGAGCGGGGGTCTCCCCCGAGCCCACCCCGCTCCCTTCTCCGCAGCTGTTCGGAATAGGAGTCACTTTGCCCAGCACCCTCCCTGGGAGTCCCCCCTTTGGCCGCCAGGTTCCACACCAGCTTGGCCATTCCCCCACTGGGTAGCCATGCAAAATATAGGGGAAACTGAGGCACACAGGCTTCATCGAAATCTTTCAGAACATTTGTCATAACTTGAGTCTCCCTCCCCCCAACCCTGCTGGACAGTCGCCCTCCTTGGCTTATTTCTTTCCTCCCCTATTTTATTTTCACCCCCCCCTCCCCAATCACTCAATGTCCCCACCCCCCACTGGCGCCTTCCTCCACAAGAGAGGAGCTGCTTCCCAGCGGGCTGGGGGGTGTAGGTACTGCTATGCTTAGCCCCCTCCCGAAGGAAGGTGGCTCCCTGCCCCCGTGCTCACCGGGGCCAGCGGCCCCCTGCATCAGCAGAGCAGAACGGGGCTCTATAAAAGCCCCCCCCCCAGCACCCCGCGCTCTCGCTGCCTCCCGGCGGATCCCCCCCCAGGCCCACACACAGGCCAGCCGCAGCAAAAGCAGGAGTAAGTTGATTGCTTACCCGGAGCAGCCCGCAGCAAGCAGCCACCAGGTCCCGCTCTGGCTCCTGGCCTGGAGGGTCGCGTGGCTGGGGGTCGGGTCAAGTCGAGGCGGGCGCGGGAACTACAAGCCACGCCCCCCCCCAGCATGCAGCCCAGCTGCGGAGAACTCCTCCCTGCCTGCCTCACTCTGTGTGTGCCTCGGGCTGCTGCTGCATGGCGGACGCCAGCTGGGAGCTCAACTGTGCAGCGTTGCCCCAAGGGCCCCGGAAGAACAAGTGAGTGGCACTGGTGGCGCCGGCTTGCCGCGGTCCCCCAGATAACGGGACAAAGTGCGTCCCGACCAATGTAAGGTCGGGACGTGGGACAAGTCCCCTAAAATCAGGACCTCTGGTCACCCTACCCCCGGAGTACAGCAGCCCTGCCTTTGCCTTGCAGGGTAACAACAGATCCCAGCTCCTGAGTCCCTTCAAAGTGTGCCCGTAGGGTATCCACCCCCCTAACACCGGATACCCACGGAAATCCCTGATCTGCAGCTCCCCGAGGACCAGTGCACCTCTCCAACCCTGAGAGCATCCCAATGCCAGAGGGCCAGGGGCTCCCTGGGAGCTGGCAGTGAGTTTCAGCTGCCTTGACCAGCCCAACTCACTGGGGCCATGATCGGTATCTAAAAGGTGTCACTGGAAACTAACAACTCACTGATCAGCCAGATTCTGGCATGATGATACAACATGAAGCATTAGAAACACCTGCTGCAAGATGTTATTAAAATGTAAGCCTTGCCTAACAACACATCACCCCTCTCCCCCAGGCAAAGGAATGTGGTTCTTCCCCCTGCTTGCATGTGTCTGCAATGTAAATGGAGCGAGGACAATGAAATGACATTTACATGAAGGGCAGACAAAGCCAGTAGGCA